TTCAGAAAGGAGGGAAACATGAATAAACCGACAACAAATCGGGCGCATAAGTGAGAAGAGAAGTATGTACGAACCTACCCTTTTTGCACCCTTCTTTTTATTATTATTATTATTATTATTATTATTATTATTATTATTATTATTATTATTATTATTATTATTATTATTATTTAGTCCGGACCACATCCACACAGTATAAAAAAAACAAGCACGTCAGAGGCAGAGAAGAGAGGAAAGAGAGTGGAGAAAGAGAGCAGAGAAGACACCATTACGGGGATTTTAGGGAAATCGTTGCGAGTTGTCTGGTGTAATGCGATACTAGTTATTACGGCGTGCCTCCAGATATCCACTTCCACCCTCCCTCTGTTTCCGTTCTTTCGGTCTGGATTGTATGGGGGTTGCTGCTGTTGTTCTCCGTAGACTCGAACCGGGTTGTTGGTTCTCCTCGTTTCAGGGCGAGGGATGTAACACTATTAGGAGTCTCATAATGTGCACTTTTCCAGTTGGTTAAGTTACCCTTGAAGAGAGCGCTCGGGCTTAGTATGTTTGAGTAACAATAATAACAAAGTTCCAGGGCCCGCCCATCCTTATTTAGCCCTGGGATCCCTGGGGGGCTAAGGCCCGATATCGTTGCTGCCCCTTATTTACTAGCACTGCTACTGGTACCGAACCTCCCCAGAGGGCCTGGCCAGGCTTACCCCAACGCACTAGTTCTCGCACAAGCCAATTTATTATTGTGCCTGGTGTTTCATGAAATCACAGAGCTACAACTCAAACAGACATTGACTCTCTGGTTCTCCGACAGATCCAGATGGGTGGGAAATCAATAAAAAGCAAGTAGCAAATCATTTGATTTCAGACAAAAAGGAATTATATCAGAGAAGTTTCGAACCCAGCGTGACTGTGGCCGCGCCCAGCAGCAATCACTCACTTTTGGTGGTTCGAACTTCTGGCGGCGGTGTTTCCCACATCCCTGAAAGGGTTCATCGCGCCGTTTCTGGCTTTCCACCTCTCACCTTTCAGCTCCCACCGCCATGTTGTTGATTTGTCTTTGTTCGTTTGTTCGTCCCAATTATGATAATTATTGGATCCGTTGTCTTCGACGAAAACACACATTGAATCTTTTTTTCTTTTTTCTCTAGTATTGTGAACACCCTTGTCACACCCCTCAACCCCACCAGTAGCACTGACCCAATACCCTGATCATGAAGGGTCCATCGGATCTGTGGTTGGGCAATTCCAAAAATAAAAAATAAAAAATAAAAATAAAGTAAAAAAATAAATAAATAAAAAAGGCGTTCTCTTCACTCGTTCATTCAATGCTTTTTTTAAAAAAATCATCGTCATCATCGACAGTTTTAATTGAAACCCTCTCCTCTCCTCCTCTCCTCCTTCCCACACACGAAGAGAAGCAAGCGCCTTGTATGGAGCACACTCCATGATTCATGATGGCATGCCATTGCCATCCACCCCCCGACCAACTGACGTAACAGAGCATGCATGCACAAGCGCCGATCACCAGCTCATCGCTGCTGACTGCGTCCATCCACGTTCTCGGCCAGGTGCTGTATGGTTGGCATAGTGGGGCACAAGAAATGGATGTTGCGCTGGGGGTTTATTGATTGAAAAGAAAAGTACTCCGTAGGGGGTGAAATCACAATAAAATGAGATATGTATATACATCTCCTGAAGAGATGGGGGAACAGGCCTGAGAGAGATTGTTTATTTTATTTTATTTTTATCTAGTCTGTTCTGAACATCTAGAACAGAGATACATAACTAC